GACTGGGAATGACTGGTCACTATGACACACACTGACCACCAGGGGGCAGACGCTCAATGCAGGAGCTGCCCTCTGGTGGTCAGTGCACTCCCACATGGGGGAGCTCTGCTCTGCCACAAGCCAGGCTGATGGCTACCAGTACAGCAGTGGTGGTGGGAGCCTCTCCTGCCTCCTCAGCAGTGCTAAGGATGTCCGACTGCAGCTTAGACCTGGTTCCTGCTGGCAAGTGGACATCCCCCGAGGGCTGCCGGGCTTCCAGAGGGATGTCTGATTGCCAGCTTAAGTCCAATCTCCCGGGGAGCAGGCCTAAGCCAGCAGGTGGTCATCCTCCAAGGGGTCCCAGAGTGTGAGAGGGCACAGGCCAGGCTGAGGGACCACCCCCCCGCCGAGTGCACAAATTTTTGTGCACCGGGCCTCTAGTATTATTAATAATAATAAAAAGACTTGTTCTCTCGTGGGTCCTGAATTTATTCTTGACTCATTTCTGCCTTGACCTTCTACTTCTGAAGCTCACTACTGTGAAACCTTTCTACCTTTCTCTTAGCCTATGTCCAGGAGACCTGAATATCTGCTTCTTCTTGATAAAAATAAAATAACTTTCCTTGAGCCTCCTCCTCTGTTGCTCTTGACCATAAAAAATAAAGCAGGTTCTAACTTTGGTGATAATTATTTGTGGTGTAATAAACACTATGAGATTTATTTATCTCAAAGAAACTTCAAATGGGCCCATTTGACATATAAAATCAGTTTCACTTCCAGGCTATACAATAACTATTTTTAATCATCTTATCAGTGAATAAAGAAGCAAACTGTACATTAGAAAGAAAAAAGTCTTTGAGATTTCTCACAATATATACTTAAAATATTTATTTGGAAACAAATGAAACAGTAAAGAAATATTTTATTCCTCTGCATCTCTATTCCACAGCAACCAGACTAGAAGAAGTAATAAAAGACATGAAAATTGAAAGGAGAAAGAAAAACTGTCATTATTCACAGGTGACATAATATTGTATATAGAAAACCCTAAGCCTCCACCAAAACCAAACAAACCAACAAACAAAAGAACACTAGATCTAATAAATGAACTCAGCAAAGTAGCAGGATACAAAATTAATATTCAGAAATTGGTGACATTTTTATACACCAGTAAAGAACTATCAGAAAGAGGAATTAAGAAACCATTCCATTTGCTATTGCAACAAACCCCTTCACCAAAAAAAAAAAAATAAGGTACCTAAGAATAAATGTAACCAAGAAGGTAAAAGATCTGTACTATAGGAATTATAAGATACTGAAGAAAGAAATTGAGGAAGATACAAATAAGTGGAAGAATATACTGTATTGATAGATAGATAGAATTAACATCATTAAAGCAATCAATAGGTTAAATGTAACTCTTATTAAAATACCAATGGCATATCTCACAAATCTAAAACAAATATTCCAAAAATTTATATGGAACCACAAAAGACCTTGAGTAGCCTCAGCAATCTTAAGAAAAACAAAGTTGGAGGTATCACAATATCTGGTATTAACCTATACTACAAGGCCATAAGTAATCAAAGCAGCATGGTATTGGCACAAGAACAGGCATATAAATTAATGGAACAAAACAGAGAGCTCAGCCTTAGCCGGTTTGGCTCAGTGGATAGAGCATCAGCCTGCAGACTGAATGTCCCAGGTTTGATTCCGGTCAAGGGCATGTACCTCGGTTGCAGGCTCCTCCTGTCTCGAGCCCCAACTACAGAAGGCAACCAATTGATGTGTTTCTCTCACATCGATATTTCTCTCTGTCTTTCCCTTTCTTTAAAAATCAATGGAAAATATATTCTTGTGTAAGGATTAAAAGAGAGAGAGAGAGAGAGAGCCCAGGTATAAACCCATGCATGCCTAATTAATATTTGATAAAGGAGGCAAGAACGTACAATGGGGTAAAGATAGGCTCTTCAATAAATGGTGCTGGGAAAATTGGACAAATACATGCAAAAAAGAAAAGAAAAGAAAGAAAAAGAAACTAGACCACCAGTTTACACCATAGAAAAGAATAAACTCAAAATGGATTAAATATTTAAATGTAGGTTGTGAAACCATAAAAATCCTAGAAGAAAACATAAGTTGTAAAATCTTGGACATCTCACATAGGAATATTTTTTCTGATATATCTCCTGGGACAAGGGAAACAAAGGAAAAAATAAAGAAATGGGACTACATCAAACTAAAAAGCTTCTGCATAGCAAAAGAAACCATCAACAAAATGAAAAGGGATCCCATTGTATGGGAAAATAAATTCTCCAATGATACATCTGATAAGGGGTTAACTTCCAAAATATATAAAGAATGCATACAGCTCAACACCAAAAAGACCAAAAACCCAATTTAAAAATGGGTGAAGGACCTGAATAGACCCTTCTCATAAGAGGACATACAATGGCCAATAAACATGAAAAGATGCTAATGTCACTAATCATCAGAGAGAGGAAGATTAAAATGATAATGAGATATCCCCTCATGTCTGTCAGAATGGCTTTTGTCTATAAATCAACAAACAACAATTGCTGGCAGTAATGTGGAGAAAAGGGAACCCTAGTACACTGTTAGTGGGAATGCAGACTGGTATAGTCATTGTGGAAAACAGTATGGAGTTACTTTTAAAAATTAAAAAAGAAACTGCATCTTTACCCAGTGATTCTACTTCTTGGAAGCCTGAAACACTAATTTGAAAGAATATATGCATCCCTATGTTTATTTCAGTGTCATTTACAATATCCAAGATCTGGAAACACCCCAAGTGCCCATAAGTATATGAGTGAACAAAAAAAGCTGTGGTACATTTACACAGTGGAATACTACTCAGCTGTAAAAAGGAAGAAAATTTACCATTTGTGACAGCATGGTGGACCTGAAGATTATTATGCTAAGTGAAATAAGCAAGTCAGAGAAAGACAAATACCGTATGATCTCACTTATATGTGCAATCTGATGAACAAAGTAAGTTAATAAACAAAATAGAAACAAAAGCATAGATATATAGAACAGCTGTCAGGGGGAAGGTGATGAGGGTCTAGGTGAAAAATTTTTCAAAAAATTGAAAAATATATTTATAACACAAAGACACAGACAACAGTATGGTGATAACCATAGGGAAAGTGGGGTAAGAGAGGTGTAGGTGGGCCAATAGGGGATAAAAGGAGATGGAAAGAGACTTTACTTTGGCCCATGAGCCCATGATGCAGTATGCAGATGATATTTTATTACATTGTATACTTGAAACCTATATGATTTTATTAACTAATGTCACCCCAAGAAATTCAATAAAAATAAGTTAAAAGTTGTTTTTAAAGAAAAGCAAAGCATGGCATTCTAAGTAAGAGCTAACATATCAATGGAGGAAAGGCGAGCACATCCTAAGAAAACTCTATAAAACATGACAGGGAAAGGAATCAAGAGAAGTGGCACCTCAGTGAAGCACTTACCCACACAGCTCCCAATGAAGCAAGCACTGAGGAATGCTATGGAAATCACAGCAACAGACCAGACCCTCACTTGAAACCACCATACTTCGTTTTCTGTCAGAGAGGCAAGACAAATGCAATTACCAAGGGGCCAAGAAGCCAGACTTTCTAAAAGTTAGAGCAATAAGGAAACCAAAGGACCTCAGAGTAATTAAGCTTAAAGCAAAAAGAGAATGCAAAAACTCTCTCATCCTATATAATAAAAAGCTAATATGCAAATCAACTGAACGGCGGAATGACCAGTCGCTATGATGCGCACTGACACCGGGGGGCAGACGCTCAATGCAGGAGCTGCCCCTTGGTAGACAGTGTGTTCCCACAGGGGGAGAGCCACTCAACCAGAAGCCAGGCTCACGGCTGGTGAGCACAGCAGTGGTGGTGGGAACCTCTTCCACCTCTGCAGGAGTTCCAAGAATATCTGACTGCCAGCTTCGGCCTGCTCTAAACTTTCAATTGGACATCTCCAGAGGGCTCCCTGACTGCGAGACGGTGCATTCTTGGCTGAGGAACGCCCACCCCCCCTCCAAGTGCACAAATTTTGTGCACCAGGTTTCTAGTAATATATAACCAGGTAGAAGCTCAGAAGTCTTAAGTAAGCTAGGCAAAACTCATCCTCAACCAATTGTAGTTTTCATTTTATTATTCTTTCTTATTAAATACTACATTTATCCATTGATTCCCATATTTCTTACAACATCATTTTTTGTCTTTTACTTCTCGTACCACTGTATTAATATTTGGTTTCTTATTCTTTCAAGTACTTCTAGCTCTGAGGAATTTTTCTTTCTTTCAACTTCTCAAAAATCTACTATGTTAGTCCAAACTTTATGTCTTCAATCTGTTATCTACCTCTTCTCTCCAGATGACTCTTATAATCTCATCATACACTTCTTTCCTCCTTGAATTTGGTAAAGGAATGCTCACCTCTACCTTGAGGTTGCCCTTCCTTCACCATTCTGTGAGTCAGAGGGCTCCCTGTGTTCAAAAGCTCCAGGAGCCTCTTGGGTCTCTCTTACTGAAGGTGTTATCCAAAGACCTGCTGTCATTCAAATAGGTCAGAGCACAGAAACAACAGCTAAACACTCAGATGAGGCTAAGAGACTTACAATATAAAGGGTCTCTCAAAAGAAGAAGTTGCGGTTTGGACTAAAGATTCTGGTAAACTATTGGGAAAAATAAAAGAGGAAATTGAGAAACATACCCAAAACTATATATGAAAATTTAGACAAGAATATTCAAATCATTTGTTCTGTTCCTGGTATGAAATGTCTTTCTCTAATTCTTATGCATTCTGGCATGGGAAATAGAAAATTTCATATGCCCTAAAGGCAATTACTTACAGGCCTTAATTAAATTAAGTGCTTCCTAACCAAACTTTACATTTTGAACAGTATCTTAGGAAGTGAGCAAAAGTCTAATTAAATGGATATAGTTTGATAATAATTAAACATAGTAAATTACAAAGAGGCCTATGGACATTTTATAGGAACATTATGGCAAAATGAAAGATTCTGGAATCTAGCTGCAAAAGTAAATATTTCTATTGCATCAAGACCAATATTAGGCAGAAGTTAGTGATATTTATAATCTGCTGGATTAGATGCAATTAGAAGTTGTATAACATCAGAGACAGGCTTCATGAATTCCTTGTTGTTAATCTGGAATGTAGACCTTTCTTTCTACTAACATCACAAACATTCTCACATGAGCAGTCTTGAACAGAAAATATCTGCTATGAATATAGGAATATTGAACCCAACATGGTTTCCACTCAACTCAATCTAAGTGATAGAATAGTTCTATAGCTAATGATAAAATGACATTGAGAACAGGAATGAAAACCCGGAAAATTGATTTGAGAGGCAACAAGTCATAAGAGGAGTAGAAGAGTGATTGTTAACATCATCATTCATTTTTAGTTTCCTTCAAAAATGAAGAAAAACAACCCACGGTTTGAGTCACTTGGTGGTCCTTAGCTATATATAGAAAAAGGAAGTTAAAAACCTCTGATTCCTTGCTCATCTCCAATACAGGCTCTTTTAATCATGTAATGATCTTGACCATTTGCAACCCTGTGCTCCATTTTTTTTGCTTCTTTCCATTCCTCTGTTCCATACATATTTCTAGATAGATACTGGCAAACTTTTGAATGGTAGTAGCAAAATCAGAAAAGAGCAATACATCAAAATATAAAATAAGACAAATATTCATAGGGAGAATGGTAAATTAAAACAAAGCCAAACTCTGAATAGGTTCAGGTTAGATGTACAAATACATTTAGGATATTTGAGTCTGGTCAAAAAGTAGCAATAAAGAAGACAGTAACTAGTATTGATTGAATATAAAATTATATACTATTAGACAGAGTCAAAGTAAATGATCTTCTGTTTTGCCTTGAACTCTTTAAAGGGGCTAATATCGGTGAATCAGCAATTGGAATTAAATCCCTTTCTAAGGAAGCAGCATTGGGTTGCTCTATTAAAAATTAGTGTTTGTGCAACAAACTGAAAGAAATTAATAAATTCCTAGAAACATACAATCTTTCAAAACTGAATCAAGAAAACACAAAAACTTTGAGCAGACCATTACAACCAACAAAACTGAAGCATAAACCTTCATACTGTATCATTCCAATTATATAACATTCTGGAAAAGGCAAGAAAAGAGATCAATGGTTGCAGCGTGAGGTGGGGGGAGATGAATTGGCAGAGCACAGATGATATTTAGTGCAGTGCAAATACTCTGTATGATATTATAAATTTGGATACATGTCATTAAATATGTGTCCAAACTCACTGAATGTACAACATCAAGAGTGAAGCCTAATGTAAACTATGGACTTTGGGTCATTATGATATGTCCATGTAGATTCAACCTTGGTGCAAAAATATACCATTCTGGTGAGTGATGTTGATAAAGAGGGAGGCTATGCATGTGTGGGGCAAGGGACATGTGGGAACGCTCTGTATCTCTCAATTTTCTTGTAAACACAAAATGCTCTAAAAATAGTCTTTTTAAAAAACCAATAAGCTATAATAATTAGCTATATCTATTACATTTGTATATAAAGCTTTGTAGCTATAGTAATTTCACACAAAGCAAAGTTCAGAGCAAGAAACCTATCAGGAATAAAGACGGGCATTCTATAATGATAAAAGAGTGGATGTTCCAAGAAGCTATAACAATCTTTAATGTGAATGCACCTGACAACAGCGTATAAAAATACATGAATCAAGAACTAGTAAAAATGCAAGGAGAAATAGACAAATCCATTGTTATGGCTGGCTCTATCAGCACCCCTATTGCAGTTTTGACAGAATAGAAATCTGTTAAAAGAATATAAATCTTTAAAAGAATATCTAATCTTTAAAAAAAATAGGTGACCACTTGACGCTTATGATTTAGTGTATATATGTGTATATGTGACCCTTTCTGGCAGAATTTAAAATAGCCTTTCATCTGCACTTGTCCTTCACACCTTGCTCACCTTCTTGGCCTTCCTCTGTCTACTAGTGGGGCTTCTGGCTGCCCACACGGAGCCCATCTTCCCCCATTACCCAGTTATCTCACTTTGGGCTTCAGCTTGACCTAAGTTCATCTACTTTGGTTTGAACTATTTCATCTGTGGCCTTTGCTTTATGATTGGGCCCCTGCCCAGAGAGTGACCACAGTAGCCTTCTACTCTATACCCAACAGCTGGGCTTTTCATCAGCCCCCCATAATACACACATATAAATATACCTCACACCCTCACAGGAACCCCCCACACACACATACTTGAACAGAGTAGCTAAAAAGTCAAGTTATTCTGAGTCTGTTTCTTCTGCATACTTCATGATGAAATGAATGGCCTTGGTCTTTAGGGCTTCTCCATTGCAACATAAAAAAACTTCATGTTCAAATGACCTGTGTCAGTGCCATACCTAATTTCTACATAAGAATCTGATGAAGCCCTAACTGGTTTGGCTCAGTGGGTAGAGCGTTGGCCTGCAGACTGAAGGGTCCCAGGTTCGATTCTGATCATGGGCATGTACCTTGGTTGCAGGCACATCCCCAGTAGGAGGTGTGCAGGAGGCAGCTAATCGATGTTTCTCTCTCACTGATGTTTCTAACTCTCTATCCCTCTCCCTTCCTCTCTGTAAAAAAAATCAATAAAATATGCTTTTTTAAAAAAAGAAAGCTTGTGGATACTGCTGTCCAGAAACTTCTCCTTTAAAAAAAAAAAAGAATCCGAGAGCAGGGTAACGATTAAAAAACCAGCTCTGAGACTCCGCAGAGTTCTGGAAGGTGGAGCCCTGTGAGTTCCCACAGCCTCCCAGGCTCTTGTTTACACACTTCCTCTTAAATCTGTGAGTTTGATTGTTGATCCCAGTGCATGTGATTGCCCAGTTGGGGTCGCTAGCGGAGCTTGTAGGGGAAGATTGTTTTTGGGGAGCCTGGGAAACAGAGCTGGGAGTGGCGACTGGTGAACCAGCTCTGGGCGGAGCTGGTTCAGGTACAATAGAGAACTCCTGGTCAGAGAGGACTTAAAGCCTTGGAGGTCAATCCAGACACACTGCCACCCAGAGGCAGAGCCACGAACTGACTCTTCTGTACATACAAATACAGCAGTAAGGGGAACCAATACGGCCTGCCTTAAAATCAGGACTGTGGCTTACAACACGGAGGAACAGTGTATCAGAGGGAAATTCAACATTCTCCTGAATTCCGGGCGTGCCAAAAAGAAGAGTAGAAGATCTGAAGCACCTGCATTACTGCACATTTTTATTTTTATTTTTTTTAATTACTTTTTCACCTTTTAACTAAGAAAACATTGTTTTTCTTTTTTTTTTTTCCCATCACCTGATTTTACCCTTTCAACTACTACATTTTTATTTTTAACTAGTATTATTACCGCTACCATTTTACCATTTTTTAAAGTGTCATTTTCTTTTCTTTTATTTTTTTTATTTTTTTATTTTGGGACTAATGTCCTCCATTCTATTTTCATCGTTCCTTTAGCAACATTTTTCTCTACCTCAATTTGCCTCTGTGCTAAACCCTCTTCCCCACTTTTTCCCTTTTGTTGTCCTGTTTCTCTTACCCTACTCCAGGTTTAGATCTTCCCTATTCTTTTTACCCCCTGTCAAAATTTCACCCTACTTATATACCCTATGTCCAATCCCCTGCTCTAAATCCTTATACACCTTTCCCTTATCTTCCTTCACTATCCAAATTTTTTTCTTCTTCTTCTTCTTTTCTCTCTCTATTGTTTATTGTTGTTTGCTCGATTGACGAGTATATTGGGGGTTTTTTTAGGATCGTTTGTGAGGTTAGTCTGCTTATTCTTTTTATTTTTCTCCCCCCGCCCCCCGGTTATTTCTGTGCTTCTGTTTTCCCTTGCGTCGCTTGATATTATTGGTTGTTTGTAGTTTGTATTCATCTCCAGGAATCTGCTGCTGTAAATTGTTGGTATTAGTGGCGGTTCTATAGGAGTTTTCCCCTCATATAAATAGTCTCTTCCCCTCTTATACTTCACTCTCTTTTCTCTCTTACTTTTTTTTTTCTTTTTCCTCTTCTTTTTTCCCCTCCCTTTTTCCAATTTTATTTTTGCACTCCTTTTTTTTTCTTTTTTCTTTCTTTCTTTTTTCTCTTCTACCTTTTTCTCTTCTTTCTTCCTTATCTCCTAACTCTCTTAGCTCGGGTGGCCACCTTTATTTGGGGTTATTGATATCGTAAATACATTCGTGTTCAGTGCCTGGTACGTTGTGCCTTGTTGTGTTGTATTTTGTGCCTTTAAATCAACGCAGCAGATTCAAGCAACAGCGGCCTCCTGATCTCCACACGCTCTGTCTGGGGAACAGTTACTGTGTGTGAAGCCTCCCTCCACCTGCCAGAAGAGCCACCACAGCTGTGAACAGCACCCACCAGAGGCCCTGCTATCAACGGAGGAGCCACTGCTACCACAACCGCCCAAGGAGCAACCACAGCCCGAGGAGCCACTGCCACCCAGGGAGCAGCCACTGAACGACTCAACAACTAGATATGTCAGTGAGATCAAACATGGGTAGACAAAGAAACCCCCAAAGGAAAGAGAAGGAGGACTCGCCAGAAAAGCAGC